CCCAGTATCTAGGACCACCCCTCCAGGATGGTACTCGCAGACCAGAAACCAGGCATACCCCTATGGACTTATGTTCCATGGCCATCCCAGTTCCAGGATGGCCCCCATGGAACTAGACTCCAGTCTTGCCCCAGTGGACCCTGGCATCCTCCCATAGACTAAGGACTAGGCCTATTCCTGTGGACCTAGGCACCTAGCACACCCCATTGTCAGGCCAGCCCCCTTGAACCCAGGAATCAGGCCCTCCCACCTGCTGACCCAGGCACTAACCAACCTCTTGAGGACTCAAGTAATAAACCTTTCCCTAGACCCTGCCAGGAAGCCTGCCCAGAATCCTTGTATGAGCTGACTGGGAAAGGGCTTTACCTGCCATATAGCCAGTCTGTAAAGACTGGAAGAAGGGCCTACTTCTTCAAATGTGCATATATCAACATAAGGCCACAAGGAAAGCAGACAAAAACATAGACTGGGGAAAAGAATCCTTATTCAATAAATGGTACTGGGAAAACTGGACAGCCACATGTAGAAGACTGAAACAGGATCCACACCTTTCACCTATCACAAAAGTCAACTCATTGTGGTTAACAGACTTAAACCTAAGGCATAAAACTATAAGAATTCTAGAAGAAAATTTTGGAAAAACTCTTATAGACATTGGCCTAGGCAAAGAATTTGTGAAGAAGACCCCAAAGGCAATCACAGCAACAACAAAAATAAATAAATGGGACTTGATCAAATTAAAAAGTTTCTACACAGCCAAGGAAACTATCACGAGAGCAAACAGACAACCTACAGAATGGGAGAAAATATTCGCACGTTACGCATCTGATAAAGGGCTGATAACTAGAATCTATTTAGAACTCAGGAAAATCAGCAAGAAAAAAATCAAACAACCCTGTCAAAAAGTGGGCAAAGGACATGAACAGAAACTTTTCAAAAGAAGATAGACTAATGGCCAACAAACATATGAAAAAATGCTCAACATCTCTAATCATCAGAGAAATGCAAATAAAAACCACAATGAGATATCTCCACTGAGAATGGCCTTTATCGAAAAGTCCCAAAACAATAAATGTTGGCGTGGATGCGAAGAGATAGGAACACTCATACACTGCTGGTGAGACTGCAAACTAGTACAACCTCTGGAAAACAATGTGGAGATACCTCAAAGAGCTACAAGTAGATCTACCATTTGATCCAGCAATCCCATTACTGAGCACCTATTCAAAAGAACAAAAGACATTCTATAAAAAAGACATCTGCACTTGAATGTTTATAGCAGCACAATTCACAATTGCAAAGATGTGGAAACAATCCAAGTGTCCAATACATGAGTGGATTAACAAAATATGTGGTATATGTATACCATGGAGTTCTACTCAGCCACAAAAAACAATGGTGATCTAGCACCTCTTGTATTATCCTGGATAGAGCTGGGATCCATTCTACTAAGTGAAGTATCCCAAGAATGGAAAAACAAGCACCACATGTATTCACCATCAAATTGGTATTAAGTGATCAGCACTTAAGTGCACATATAGCAATAACATTCATCAGGTGTCGGGCATATGGGAGCGGGGGAGAGGGGATGGTTATACACACACCTAATGAGTGTGATGCGCACCATCTGGGGTGGACATGCTTGAAGCTCTGACTCAGGTGGGGCAAGGGCAATATACATAACCTAAACATTTGTACCCCCATAATATGCTGAAATAAAAAAGAAAAAACCACCAAAAGCACAAAATAAAGTGCCACTATATGACCCTAAAGAAATGGAGATCTATAAACTGCTTGACAAAGAATTTAAAATTATGGTCTTAAAGAAGCTCAGTGAGCTATAAGAGTGCCCCCCTATGAGTTTACCCCAGAGTTCATGAGAGGAACGAAACAAAATCAAGAAACCAATACATAACTGAAATAAGAAGTTTAACAAAGAGATAGAAACCATAAAGAAGAACCAAATGGGAATTCTGGAGCTGAAGAATACAAATGACTGAACTAAAAATTCAATTAAGAGCTTCAACAATAAACTTGATCAACGTCAAGAAATATTAAGTGAGTTTGAAGATAAGTCATTTGAAATTATGAAGTCAGATAAACAAAAAGAAAAAGGAATAAAAAAGAGTGAAAATAGTCTATAGGACATATAGGACACTGGCAAGCAAACCTACTTGAGCATTATGGGAGTCCTAGAAGGAGTATAGAAAGAGAAAAAGATTGAAAGAAAGAATGATAGAAAAACATCACAAATCTGGAGAAGAAAATGACCATCTAGATCCATGAAACCCAAAGAACCCCAATAAATTAAATATAAAGAGATCTTCAATAAGCACATTATAATCAAATTCTCAAAGGTCAAAGAGAAAGAGAAAATTTTGAAAGCAGCCAGGGAAAATAAATTCATCACATACAAGGAATCCTGCATAACACTATTAGCAGACTTCTCAGCAGAAACCCTGCAAACCACGGGAGAATGGGATGATATATTAAAAATGCAGAAAGAAGAAGAAAGAAAAGAAAGAAAGAAAAGGAAAGAAACAAAAGAAAGAAAAAAGAAAGCAAGAAAGCAGAAAGCCCTGCTAACAAAGAATACTACACCTGGAAAAATCTGTTCTTCAGAAATGAAGGAAGATAAAGACTTTCCCAGGGAAAAAAAGAAAAAAGCTGCGGGAATTTTTCACCACTAGATTTGCCTTGGAGGAAATGTAGAGTTCTTCAAGTTGAAACATAAAGATGCTAACAACATAAAAAAAGACACTATAAAACTCACTGTAAAGGTAAGAATATACTAAAATCAGAATATTTTGATATTGTATTGGTGGTGGGTAAGTCAGTTTTAATTCTTATAAAAATTTGAAAGACAAAAGTATTAAAAATAATGATAGCTACAATAATTTGTAATGAATAAACAATATATAAAAGATGTAAATTGTGACATCAATAAAGTAAAATGTGGAGAAAGAAAAAGTTAAAATGTAGAGCTATGGTATGTAGTTTAAGTTAAGTTGTTATCTGCTTAAAATAGACTGTTATAAGATGTTTTATGTAAGTCTCATGGTAACCAGAAAGAAAAAACCTATAGTAGAAACACAAAATACAAAGAGAAAGTGATCAAGGCGTAACACTACAAAAAATCATCACATCATGAAGGAAGAAAACGAGAGTAAGAAAGGAACAATGGATCTAAAAACAGAAAATAATGAAGAAAATGACAGTAGTAACCCTTTACCTATTATCACTTTAAGTGTAAATTGACTAAATCCTCTGATTTAATCAAAGACAGTAGCTGAAGGGATTTAAAAAAACCAAGATACAACTACATGCTGCCTATAAGAGATTCACTTTAGTTTTAAGGACACACATAGCCTGGTAGTGAAGGGATGGAAAAAAATATACTATGCAAATGGTAACTAAAAGAGAACATGGGTGCGTATATCAGAAAAAGGAGACTTTAAATCAAAAACTATCGTAAGAGACAAATAAGCTCACTATATAATAATAAAGGGGCAAATTCATCAAGAGGACATAACAATTGTAAATATAGCAGTTGTGAATATATATGCACTCAACAATGGAGAACATAAATATATAAAGAAAATATCAACTGAAGTGAAAGGAGAAATACAATACTAGCAGCAGACTAAGAGATGGGGTTTAATAAATTGTAGTATATGCATACAACGAAATAAAAAAATAAACTTTTGATATCAGCAACAGCATGCATAAATCTTAAAAATATTGTGGTGAGTGAAAGAAGCTGGATTCAAGAGAATACCTTCTGTGTGGTTTCATTTATAGTAAGTTGAAGAACAGACAAAATCATTCTATGGAGATAGAGTGTGATGCTAATCACCAATCCCAAGTGAGAATGTCTGCGGCATGGAGAATAGCAAAGATCCTCACTCTGCCAACCACCAGAAACAGGAGTCCACATACGTCTGCCCATCGTATCCTGGGCTACCGTTTAGGTCTGCTATGCACTGGTTACCTACTTGTCTGAGTCCAGTGAGGCGGAGCACACACACACAAGTCATGGAACATGGCTTTATTATTTGCAGATGGGCAGCACGGAACAGGAGGGGTCTTGGATCTATTGTGAGGTGGTCCCCCAAGACCCAAAAAACTGCCCACGGCAGATGGAGTGTTGACTGTGCACGTTCCACTTTTCACCGCAGCTGAGGGATCCTGAAAGGTAGGCTGGCCTGGGTTATTTACCTCAGGGGCCCCATGATACATGGGGCAGAGCGTTGAAGGGCATCCTGCTTCTAGAGGGAGAGTCCATGTGGCAATGGGGAGGTGACAATGGCAGTGGGAGGAAACAGAAGAGATGAATGGCAAAGGAGTAAAGCAAGAGAGAAGCCTTAGGAAAGGAAGCGGAAGAAAGGACAACTGCGATGCACCTTGAACGCACATCTTGACAGGAACAGCAATGGCTGTGTGTGAGCTGTGACTGCCTCAGGGGCCTGTCTCCTAGCATGTGTAAGGACGTACTTCGTAAGTGTCAGGAAAATCACAATGACTGAGTCTTAAGTGGGCACTGTCTACTGGTATAAATAACTTTGTGTCCACAGAGGAAAATCTCCAGTGTTCACCATTCATTTTGTTGTTATTTTTGCTAAATCATTGTAGTGATACATGGGGATTTTAGATAAAAATATTTGTGAACTTTTAGCTGAAGTCTTTCTAGTCCACCTTAACCTTCTATCCAAAAGGTTCTAGTATGGCCCTGTTTTAAATTTTACCATGTAAAGCCTCTTGGGCCGGGCTTCTTGAAGTATGGAAATGCTAATAATCCCTGTAATAGAAGAAATTCACTGTTCAGAACCATTATTCCCGGACCAAGGGAGGAGCCAAGCTGAAGGCACCAGGAGGGATGACAATTAAGGAGAGACAGGGACATTTTCAGGACAGACAGAGGAAGAAAGCAAGTGCAGGCAGAGTGTGAAGGGTGAGAGACATCAGTGACATTCCCAAGTGACCTCAGGAGGGCAAGTAGCTTAGGGTCTGAAGTTACAGTAATCGTAGTTGCAGCATTTATGAACATAAATTCGATTATTGAGATCTAATGTCAAGTCTCTGCAGAATTTCTGACACACCATATATGACGTCTGGAGAGCATCATCTGAAATAAAAGAACCATAGAAAATAAGCCAGGGATCTAAGTTCTCCAAGGTGAGTCAAACCTGGCACTAATTCTCTCAGTGAAAATTTAATCAGGCATCAGAATAGATATACCCAGGCAGGGAAATGCAGAACTCGCTGGCCAGGTGTAGGGATTGTTTGCCTGAGGTCCCCAACAATCTTTGTGCAGAAGATTGGCAACTAGTGTTTGCGTGTCTTCAAAGTCAAAGTCTGTTTGGTCATTAACCAACCTCTCTTCATCCTCCCCTCCCCCAACCTCTGGTAATCGCCATTCTACTGTCTACTTCAACTGTTTTTTTAACTCCCACATATGAGTGGCAGCATGTGACATTTGTCTTTCTGTGCCTGGCTTATTTTATTTAACATAATGTCCATCCGTGTTTCTGCAAATGACAGGATTTCATTCTTTTTATGGCTGAATAATATTCCATTGTGTATATATACCACATTTTCTTTATTGTATATTTCAAAATAGCTAGAAGAGAAGATATGAAACGTTCTCAACACAAAGAAATGATAATTTTTGAGGTGATGGATATTCTAATTACCTGACTTCATCATTACACATTGTATGCATGTATCAAAATATATGTACCCCATAAATATGTATAATTATTATGTGTCAATAAAAAATCTATTTGGTTAGTTTTCTTGGAAATACGGAATCCACACCTTTTTCCTTCTGTCCCATTGTCCCAGATCCTCTTCCGTCTGCATGTTCAGGGACCTGTGCTACCTGTGCTGAGGGGCATTCTCCACTTTTTCTCCTGAGATGTAAGTTTACTGAAATATGCTCCTAAGAATTCTAAAAATCTCACAATATCTCCCCTGACCCTCTAACTTACCCTGAAAGATCTTTAATAGCATGCATGTCTCGTGCTTCTGAGCAATACAGACACCAAAGCCTCTTCTGCAGTGGTCTGTCTGTGTGCGAAGGTGACATGTTATGCACCTAAGCGATGTCACTGCTGGAGAGAGCACAGGGCAGTGTGAGGTTAGGCAGAGGCAGGAACTTGGGGTGGAGCTGGAAATATCCAGACTGGGGGGGGGTGGGTGCATTGAGCGGGTGATGGAGCTCTCACCAACTTCTCATTCCAGAGTAATGAGAAGAAAATGCCACCTTGTAAATAAAAGGATTCTGTTCTCAACTTCAGCCTTTTTAACCTGGATAACTTTGAGCAAAAATTTAGCCTCCATATTGTTGGTTTCTCTAGCTTAAAAATGGTGCCGTGAATGCTGGCCTGACCTACCTGGCAGGGTTGTAGAGAGACATGAATGTGATAAGAAGAGTGAGTGACTACTTCAAAGTATTTTACCCAAGCTAGTGTTACTATTATGGGACTTCTGACATTTGGCTTTGTTTTGTGTTGAATATTGCTGCTTGGATATTCTTAGGTGATACATTCTGTTATTTTGAGCTTCAGACTAAATTAAATCTCTGTTAAGCCTTGTGAATTACAGCACAGTCAGTGACACCTTTATGAGGTTCTGTGGGGTGAGCTATTCAAAATACAGGTTTAATTTTTTTTTTTTTAAATCCCACCTGGTTCACCTAAGTTAGAAAGGAAAGTAGCAATTATTGAGCATCTCATTTGGGCCATGCTCTCTCAAATTGTATCTGATTTAATGTTCACAAGGCCTTGCGAGAGGGCATTATTGTCCCCATTTCTCAAATGAGCAACCAAAGGTACAGACAATTTAAGACAGTGATTGAAAAACATTTTTAAAAAATATGTTTTATTGCAGGGCACTCAGCATTTCCTCTCTAAGAATTACTCATTGTGAGGTAAGGTCCCTGACAAGGGTATCGAAAGCCATTGTCAGGCACTAAAACAAGCTGCAAAATTATTCATTCCAGACTGGCCAGGTCCCTCAGCAAATGGGATATAGACTTACAAATGAAAAGGATGTCTTAAGAAAAATCTTGCCTGGATTTTGGATCATGATGACTAGTAGGGACAGAGTGGGGAAGCAGGACAGAAGGGCAGCAGTACAGGCTTACAGTCCTGGAAGGGAATAGCAGAATGTTGGGAAGGACAGGAGAGCTGGCAGAAAAGGCAGAGGGAGCTTCTGTAGGCACTGACTTCCCTCCCTTACAAATGTGGTCAAAGCTCAGCCCTTCATGGACACACACTACACATGTAGTTTCCCCAGCTTCCCCAGATGCTGGGCAGGAGCCCCCTCCTCAGGTCTGGGACTCACCCACAATGAGGCAGCACAGGGGGAAGAGCAACAGGAAGTGTTTGTTCATCCCAGCCCAGGAGTCTCCTGTGCGGAAGGAAGCTGCAAGCACAGGTGTTCGGACTCCAGGGCAGAAATGTGCTCTCTCATCATAGGCTGGTGATATTTTATGCCTAAGGGGAGCCAATCACGTGGGGTTTTCTCTTGAAGCTCAAGTCCATTGGCTGTCTTCCCCACAGCAGACAATAATGATAATTAACAATTGTTTGGGTTTGCATTGTGCTAACTCTTTTTAAACATATAATCTTCATCTTAGTAATTATTATTATTACTGTATGACATTATTATTCTTACCACAATTTCAGAGGAGGAAAATGGGACGGGTGAGGTCTAGAAGCTTACCCATGGCCACGTATCTGGTGACTGGTACTGAAAGTAAGCCTTTCCAGTTCCAGAGCTCACCCTTTCACCACCATGATTCAATGCCTCTTTGAGATTTATTTGTATGTTCAATAAACATCTGTTGAGAGCTTTTATATGCCAGAAAGTTTCATGAGTGTGGACAGAGCAGTGGATGAGGCAGACAAGCTCACCTCACCCCTCACTTTATAGGTGAGAAACAGGAGAGTGAAAAGGATAAAAAGAGACATAGTCTGTGACCAAGCTGGACCTTCAGCCTACTCTTTCACTTTACAAGAAATCTGCCCCTCAAGGCTAGAGACTGCTTACTTGTGGGGTCCTGAAATCTCTAGAATTATCTCTTTAGATTTATATTTTGAGTCTGGCAGTTTTGTTCATGATTTAAGTGTCGATCTCTATGAAAGCTACCTCAGTTAAGGTTTATCGTGGGTAAAGTGCTGGAGAACAGTCCTGGCATTCTAAGTCTCCTTGATCATCAGTCCATCAGCTGACAGTACTTTAGAGATAGTAGAAATATTCCCTGCGGAACTGACTTAACCACTTGTTCTTTAGCCATAGGAGCAATATGATTATTAAAACATACTCAGTCTGATATTTTTAGACATCAGACGAAGATTGGGTGAAATATGGTCTTAGGTCAAATGCCGTAAAATTTCCAATGTTTCTTTTCTACGACCAGTCAGAATGTGGAGCCCTTCTCTGCCTGAGAAGAGAGCCAGAAGTCTTAGAGACTCAGACATGAGGGAATTGGTTTCTTTGAAAAGAATTGATTCTAGAATGGAGTGTAAGGTTGTGAAGCCTTTGAATCTAGTTTTAAAATCTGCTGTATTTCTGGAGAGCATATTAGAAACCGATGACATTTTTCAGAACATTCCCAGGTTTATCAAGAAGGCAAACCCCTGAGCCTTTGGAGCTTGCGTTTCCCAGGCTGTCAGGGTATTTCCTTCATCACTTGTTTTCTCTGCTTTATCCTCTGTTCAAAGGTAGAGAACAACACTAGTATCAAAGCAAATGGAGCAGACATTCTAGGTTAAACTGCAGTGATTTGCACAGTGTGTAGTCTTCTTTCCTCAAGATTCTCTTTGCAGATGGTTCCTGAAAGGCCAATTGAGTTTTGAGCCTCTAGTCTACCAGATTATTTCTGGTTATTGTAGAATTTTGCAACTCCACCCAAATATTGGGATCCTCTGATCTACTCCCTATTCTCCCACAGTACCTCATCAATCACATTTTCTCTTTCTTTTTTTTTTTTTACTATTTATAATCCAATAATTATTTTTTTCCCTGAAGCTTTTTCTTTTATTAGGGGCTTTACATTATGATACTTATATATTTTCTACAAAAACTATCATCTAGATAATATTTTTGAGATCTCTTTTTTATTTTTTATTTCAGCATGTTATGGCGGTTCAAATGTTTAGGTTACGTATATTGCCCTTGCCCCCTGGGAGTCAGAGCTTCAAGCGTGTCCATCCCCCAGATGGTGCACATCGCACTCGTCATGTGTGTACCCATCCCCTCCATCCCTTTCCCAGCTGTCCGACACCCGATGAATGTTATTACTATATGTGCACTTAAGTGTTGATTAGTTTATACGAATTTGATGATGAGTACATGTGGTGCTTATTTTTCCATTCTTGGGATACTTCACTTAGTAGAATGGGCTTCAGCTCTATCTAGGATAATACAAGAGGTGCTAGATCACCATTGTTTTTTGTGGCTGAGTAGAACTCCATGGTATACGTATACCACAGTTTATTAATCTGCTCATGTATTGATGGGCACTTGGGTTGTTTCCACATCTTTGCAATTGTGAATTGTGCTGCTATAAACATTCAAGTGCAGATGTCTTTTTTATATGATGTTTTTTTTTTCCTTTGGGTAGATGTCCAGTAATGGGATTGCTGGATCAAATATGGTAGATCTACTTGTAGCTCTTTGAGGTATCTCCATATTGTTTTCCACAGAGGTTGTACTAGTTTGCAGTCCCACCAGCAGTGTACGAGTGCTCATATCTCTCCACATTCACGCCAACATTTATTGTTTTGGGACTTTTTGATAAAGGCCATTCTCACTGGAGATAAGTGATATCTCATTGTGGTTTTGATTTGCATTTCCCTGATGATTAGAGATGTTGAGCATTTTTTCATATGTTTGTTAACCATTAGTCCATCTTCTTTTGGAAAGTTTCTGTTCATGTCCTTTGCCCACTTTTTGGTAGTGTTGTTTGATTTTTTCTTGCCGATTTTCCTGAGTTCTAAATAGATTCTAGTTATCAGCCCTTTATCAGATGTGTAACGTGCGAATATTTTCTCCCATTCTGTAGGTTGTCTGTTTGCTCTCATGATAGTTCCTTGGCTGTGCAGAAGCTTTTTAATTTGATCAGGTCCCATTTATTTATTTTTGTTGTTACTGTGATTGCCTTTGGGGGTCTTCTTCACAAATTCTTTGCTTAGGCCAATGTCTATAAGAGTTTTTCCAACATTTTCTTCTAGAATTCTAATAATTTCATGCCTTAGGTTTAAGTCTGTTCTGATTTTGTGATAGGTGAAAGGCACAGATCTTGTTTCAGTCTTCTACATGTGCCTGTCCAGTTTTCCCAGAACCATTTATTGAATAAGGATTCTTTTCCCCAGTGTATGTTTTTGTTTGCTTTGTCGAAGATTAGATGGCTATATGAGGATGGTTTTATATCTGGATTCTCAGTTCTGTTCCATTGCTTGGAATGAACGTCACATTTTCTCTTGAAAGCAATTTCTTTCTTCGTTTTTCATGGAGGAGTAGAGGAGAGTGGTATTAGAACCAATCAATAGAGGTAGTGTGGCACAGTAGAAAGAGCAATTTTCCTGGGAGTCTGGAGATCTGTGGTTGGTCACTGTGTAAGTCATTATATCTTTAGCAAGTCATTTATCTGTGATGTTAGATTTTGGCTATTTCTGTGGCTCTTTCCAAGTTTAACATTCAATGGTTCCATGACATTAATCATGAGGGTAGGTACCAACTTCTGTTATTCTGAAGTTCTTAACATTCTGCTTGGCACATGATCCCACTATCCATGGTGCCACTGAGCCATTGGGCACAGCACCCAGATTAACACAACTCCATGCCAGGAAAGCCTTTCACTCTCTAAAGATGCCATTTGCCCTGCTCTGAAGATCAGAAAGCAGAACATTGTGTCCTCATGTTCACGGTCACTCTTGGCTCCAGGGTGAGTGACTGAGATCTTGGTGATACCACAGATGAACAGTTCACTTAACTTGTCTTTCTAAGTGCTGCCTGTTGTTTGGGGGAATGGACTTTGGCATAGAGTCAGGGATTGGACTGCTTTATTTCTGGGTTCTCAGGGGGCACTTTAATGATAAGTTTGCAAACTTGAAACATGTTTCTTATTCAGATGGTTAAAAGTATCTTTCAGGTAAGTCAGTAATTTGGAGATACCTCAAAGAGCTAAAAATGGAAATACCATTTGATCCAGCAATCCCACTACAAGGCATCTACCCAAAGGAAAAAAAGATGTTCTATAATAAAGACATCTGCACTCCAATGTTTGTAGCAGCACAATTTACAATTGCAAAGATGTGGAAACAGCACAAATGCCCATCAATACATGAGTGGATTAATAAAATGTGGTATATGTATACCATGGAATACTACTCAACTACAAAAAACAACGGTGATCTAGCACCTCTTATATTATCCTGGATAGAGATTGAGCCCATCCTTCAAAGTCAGGTATCACAAGGATGGAAAAACATGCACCACATGTACTTGCCATCAAACTGGTACTAATTGATCAACAGTAAGGTGTTCACATGGTACTAATACTCACTGGGTGTCCGTCAGGTGGGGGGGTTGGGAGAGAGGGGGGTAGAGTGGGTGGGGTGGGTAAACCCACAGCTAATGGAGACGGGGCTCACTGTGTGGGGGAAGGCCACGCTTGTGGCCCTGGCTTGAGTGAGGCAAATGCATTTCATGTAACCAAAATGTTTGTACCCCTATAATATCCTGAATTAAAAAAAGAGACATATGAAATATATCAACTAATTTCAATGCCTGGGCCCTATTTTTATTCTAATTTAATAAGTGAACTCTAAAAAATAATTCACGGGACAGTTGGGAAAAATTTGAGTACTGATTACATATTTAATGATATTAAGGAATCTTTATTGATATCATAATGTAATTTTGGTTATATATAAAAATCTTTATATTTTAGAAATACATTTTGAAACATTTATGGATAAAAAAAATCAAAGCTTTCTTAGCTAAACTGCTGATATGTAAGAGGAGGGCAGCAGCCAACATCCTTGCAAACTTTTAAGTACAGTACTTACCAGGATGGGATTGAAATAAAAAAGTTCGTTATCAATTTATTTGAATGGAAACATCTGTGAATATCTGGAAATACTCCGGAAATCTTTGGAAAGTCATTTCTATCTTGATGACATTGAAGTTGAATCAAGGAATCACAATGTTTTATTTCCTGATATAAATCATTTATCTAAAATATTGTAGACAGTGAAAGATGAGTTAATTTATCTTAAGACAAACATTTGCTACTATTGGAGATTTTTAAAAATTAAAATTAAAAATTTGAAAATTATTTCAAACCTACAGAAAAAGTTGCAAAAATAAAAATCATACAAAGAAGAGCATTTATCCTTTGCTCAAATTCACATGTTGTCAACACGTGACGACATTTGCTTTATCATTTGCTTCCTTCTTTCCCTTCCCCTCCTTGTCACCTCTCCCCACCCAATTTCTCAACCATTGAGGGTAAGTTACATACATCACGAATCTAGATTTCTTAAAAATATTTTGGTATTTATTTTCTAAGAATAGAGATATTCTCTCACACAACCATGGCACAGTTCTAAACTTCAGCATATTTGACATTGATACAATACTTTTATTTAGTGTATCACTCATGTTCTGTTTTGCCATCTGGCCCAGTAATATCTTATATAATGATTTTCCCCGTGGGCATAGGAGCCAGTCTAGGGTCAGGCTTGCACTTAACTTGTCATGTCTTTTTTACTTTCTTTAATCTAGAAAATTTCTACAGCCTTTCTTTGTCTTCCATGACATAGACATACACTTTTTTTTCTGTTGAGAAATTATCTAGGATTGGAATAACTGGGTCAAATGGTAAATGTAATTTTAATTTTCAAAGAAAATACCAAATTATTCTTCAAAGTTGTGCCATTTTACATTCCCACCAGTAGTGTATGAGAGTCCCAGTTCCTCTACATCCACACCCATCCTCCCTGGGGGTGGTCAGCCTTTAATTTTAGCTGTTCTAATGGGTGTGAAGTGATTTTAATAGCATTTCCCTAATGACTAATGATGTTGAGTATCTTTTCCTGTGTTTATTTGCCATCTGCCATCTGTATAGCTTCTAGATGAGGGGTCTGTTCAAGTATTTTTCCCATTTTATTTTTTTTTATTTCAGAATATTATAGGGGTACAAATGTTTTGGTTATGTGGATTGCTTTTGTACTGCTTGAGACAATGTTATAAGTGTGCCCATCACCCAGATAGTGTACATTGTACCCGTTAGGTGTGATTTCACCAATTCCCTCCTCCCACCTGCTTGATTTCCATTGAGTTTTACTTCCGTCTATGCACGTGAGTGCTGTTTGTTTAGTTCCAATTTAAAAGTTAATATATGTGGTGTTTGTTTTTCCATTCTCGTGAGACTCCACTAAGGAGAATGGTCTCCAGTTCCATCCAGATCATTACAAAAGGAATTAATTCACTTTTTTATGGCGAAATAGAACTCTGTGGAGTACATATACCACATTTTACTAATACACTCATGAATCGGTGGTCATTTGGGTTGATTCCACATCTTTGTGATTGTGAATTGTGCTGCAATAAATATTCAAGTGTCGTTTTGATAAAATGACTTTCTTTGGGTAAGTACCCTAGTAGCGGGATTGCTGGATCAAATGGAATTTGTACTTTTAGTTCTCTGAGGACTCTCCATACTATTTTTCATAGAGGTTATACTAGTTTGCAGTACCACCAGCAATGTATAAGTGTTTCCTTCTCTTCTCATCCATGCCAGCATCTATTATTTTGGGACTTTTAAATAAAAGCCATTCTCACTGGGCTTAGGTTTTGATTTGCATTTCCGTGATGATCAGTGACATTGAGCATTTTTTCATATGTTTATTGGCCATTAGTCTATCTTCTTTTGGAAAGTTTCTGTTCATGTCTTTTGCCAATTTTAATGGGGTTGTTTGATTTTTTCCTTGCTGATTTGCTTGAATTCTTTGTAGATTCTGGTTATTGGCCCTTTACCAAATGTATAGCGTGCAAATATTTTCTCCCATTCTGTAGGTTGTCTATTCAGTCTGTTGATTGTTTTCTTTGCTGTGCAGAAGCTTTTTAATTTAATCAAGTCACATTTATTTATTTTTGTTATTGCTGTGATTGCCATTGGGGTCTTTTTCATAAATTCTTTGCCTAGGCCAATATATAGAAGAGTTTTTCCAACATTTTCTTCTAGAATTCTAATGGTTTCATGCCTTAAGGTTAAATCTGTTATCCATCGTGAATTAATTTTAGTGACTGGTGAGAGGTATGGATCCTGTTTAAATCTTCTACATGTGGCTATCCAATTTCCCAGCACCATTTATTGAACAGGGTTTTTTTCCCCAGTGTATATTGTCTGCTTTGTCAAAGATCAGATAGCTGTACAGGGATGGTTTTACATCTGGGTTCTCTGTTCTATTCCATTGATCTATGTCTCTCTTTCTATGTCTATGATCTATGTCTCTTGATCTATGTCTTTCTTTATTTACATTTTGTTTTTAAAATTTCAGAATATTATGGGGGTACAAACATTAACATTAGATATATTGTCTTTGCACCATCTACATCAGAGATACAAACATGCCCATCCCCCAGACAGTATGCTCTGCACCCATTAGTTGTGAATTTACTCATTCCCTCCACCCCCTTCCCACTTGACTGGCACTCAATGAATATTATTTCCATATGTGCACAGAAATGTTTATCAGTTAGTACCAATTTATTAGTGAGTACATGTGGTGCTTGTTTTTCCATTCTTGGGATACTTCACTTAGTAGAATGGGTTCCAGTTCTATCCAGGACAATACAAGAGGTGCTATATCACTATTGTTTTCTGTGGCTGAGTAGAACTCTGTGGTATACATATACCACATTTTATTAATGCACTCATGTATTGATGGACACTTGGATTGTGTCCACATCTTTGTAATTGTGAATTGTGCTGCTATAAACATTCAAATGCAGATGTCTTTTTAATAGACTATCTTTGTTCCTTTGGGTAGATGCCCAGTAATGGGATTTCTGGATCAAATGGTAGTTCTACTTGTAGCTCTTTGAGGTATCTCTATATTACTTTCCACAGAGGTTGTACTAGTTTGCAGATGCACCAGCAGTATATGAGTGTTCCTATCTCTCCGCATCCATGCCAACATTTATTGTTTTGGGACTTTTTGATAAAGGCAATTCTCACTGGAGATAAGTTATATCTCATTGTTGTTTTGATTTGCATTCTTAATTCTACACTTTGTATGGAACCAGAGAAGACCCTGTATAGCAAAAGCAATCTTAAGCAAAAAGAACAAATTGGGAGGCATCAATTTGCCAGACTTGAAGCTATACTACAAGGCTTTAGTCACTAAAAAGCATAGTACTGACACAAGAACAGAGACATAGACCAATGGATAAGACTTGCTGTTAGATTCCTTCTTGAGGATGGGACACGGGTAGCTATAAAGAATACCTCCTAGATTTGTTAAGACCTACAACACTGAAGTAGGAGCAGGTTTGGTGAATTGGCAAGGTCACAATTTTATTTTCATTAGAGGATTTGTGCAAAATCAGAGCGAGCACCCTTTTTGGAATGCCATGAGGAAATTGGATATGGTGGCTTGGCTCTGGGAACATTGAGGTACCATCTGTCCCTGAATTTTTATGATTATATGATTTAGATGACTAGCCCAAGGACAGAACGCAGTAGGAGAACAACCAGCACCTTCCACAGGAAGCTGCACATGACAAAAGATCCAAGATGTTTGTTCTATTTCTGCTGGGCACAGTTTTTCTGCTCTGCCCATACTGGGGTAAGTCCTGGAGATAGAGGGGCAGCTGGTGGTTGGTTAAGAGATAGGCAGATCCTGGGGAAGGGGAAGTTTCAAAATAGGCTCTTGGGGCTGGTACAGATGTATGTGAGATTATAACAAGGAATATTTTTCTTCTCCTCACAGGTAATCTTCAAGACCCTTCAAAAGGTATAACCATAGCTTATCTGAAGTCCTGGGTAAACAGATTATTTGTGACATGTTTAGGAGTAAATCCCCCCTCCATCTTCAGAGAGGCCTGTAATCCATTCTTACTATAGAATCCAAGGAGTTTCATCTTTTGCAAACCTGTTTAGTTCATTTCTTGGAGCAGGGAGACTAAGATTCTCTTCTTTGCTGCCTTTTACCCATTACTGGAGAAAATCGTCAGGCTAGATAAAGAGTTCTTTACTGGAGTCCATGGGTAAATTTCACAAGAACCCTGACTTCCTGAAATCATACACAGCATTTGATTTGTGTTTGTACAGCTTATCATCACAAGGTGATCAAGGGAGTCCACGGCCTGAGAAAGGTTAGGGACCACTAGGCAGGAGCGAGTTCCTATAGCAGAGCCTCCAGGCCCAGAGAACCTTCTCCGGGCTGCATCCTCTAAGCACTTCTTTTTGTGTCTAGCAGAGACTGAAATAATGTGTTATAAATGTAGAAAGTATCATCTTGGATTGTGCTATGATGTCATGAAATCCTGCAGCCTGAAGCACAAGCAGTCCTGTGCTGTTGAGAACATCTATGTACTTACAAGAAAAGGTAATGTGGGGTATAGAGTGACTGAGAAATAAACACCTCCTTTTCGGAGAACAGTGGTGTCCTTTTGTCCCCAGAGTGAGTGGGTGAACGGGATGGGTGAGAATGGGGTAGTCAGATAGAAGGGATGGCAAAGATGGACTTCTCTTTAAGACAACATGGGGTGAAGGGGAGGCTGATGTCTCTTACCTGGTAGGGAACAAAATCTACTCTATGGGTCAGCAATTACTAGACTCAGCCTGGAAGTTCATTTGGGCCTAGAACAAAGTTAGTAAAGGTCTAAAGACAGGTTATTCTTCAGAATATGGTAGGAGGAAGTGAGGTCATTATAGTTGTATTCCCTTTCTTTTCCCTCCTCAGGGAAGAGTATGTATCATTATTCAAAACTGTCGTGTATGACCAACTGTGAAGACATCAACTTCTTGGGTTTTGAAAAGAGGACTGAGCTTATCTGTTGCAATCATAGTAACTATTGCAACCTCCCTGAAGGACTCTAGTTCTACAACTCTCCTGGATTTTGGATCATTTTTTAATCCACTTCCCCTTTTTCCTGTTTTTGCAAACCTGTATTCTGCTCTTCTCTTCTAACCAATAGTAGACAGGGAGAAGGCAGCTGGCAGTGAAAAGAGAAGCAGGGAGGGCAGCCTCATCTCATTAGTGGTGGAGCACTGGACTGAATCTTTTCAAGTCTCTGTTTTAGTTTCCTCATGGTGATGCTGCCATGAATAAGCTCAGATTTGGTCATTTATTATCTCCTATGAGAAAAATGTGAAGACTTGGGCCAAAATAATCCC